TAAGCAACAGATTTGATATATTCAACTGGGTACAAAAAAAGCATTATGATTACTCCAAGACTTTCCTTTGTTTAATTAACTTGTACACTGACCATATTGAAGCACTCCTAATTTTAACACACTGTTATTTTTTTACTTTGTTAATAAAAAATATTAACGGTAAATGAACATAATCATTATCGGTGCTTTGATGGATCTGGACCAACCAAGTTGATATTTGTACTTTACAGTTCAGCCCTCAAAAAGACAAACAAAAAGAGGAAACAGTAACCGTGCTGTGGAAACAGCCCGACTATTTTGGGCTTTATTATCGCTAGAAGAGTTTGAGGAAAACCCCTGTTATCATATTTATTAGCTTACCAACAGAGTTAATGATCAAAGTCAGTCATAATTTTGCAGACTTGACAGCCTGGAGCTCTCTCCTGGAGCATTTATACGAGTACAAACTACTTAATTTTTGATGATTGTATAAGATTTGGGTTATAGCTTCCAGTTTGGTTGGGGATTTTGAGCATATAATTTTTTCAGCTGTATCCTATATATTGTGCTTTCTATATTGTTGCGTTATGTATTTTATTTGCTTCCCATTTTGGCTGTTGTACTCTTCTTCTCAAGAGCTTCTTGATTTCATCTACATCGTAGAAATCTAATTGAAGGAGTTTAATTTAACTTTTTGGAGAGTCAAGTGCAGAAGAGATAAAATCATTATCTTTGTTGTGAGATCACATCTGTGTCCAGCGATACGTTGATGTATAAGGTACGCGTGCTTCTTCCTCTGCCTTTGTTAAATTATGTTAGAGGTACAACTAGTATTTACTCGAGCGTTTTCTTGAGCATCTTACACACTCAATAAAAACTTTATGGAAAAGATGAAGGTTTAGGTTGCCAGACAAAGTTCCAAGTGATGTGATGCCACCCATGAAGGTCATCTCTTGCGGTGGTAATGGTTAAATCCATAGTGCATCCCAATTTTGATTATTTAATTGAAACAACCCATTTATCACTCGTTTGTTGACGACTACAACAACTGTTTTGTGTCAAGACTTGTGGTTTGTTACAAGTAATAAATATATGTCATATGTAAATACTTAATTCGCATTCGAGTTGTCAGTCAATGTCATTCAACCAACCCCGTTCATTTCACTGGAGTTTTACTTATCGTAAAAAGGGTTGTTGTAAGTCCTCTAATGTGGTAAATATATACGTACTAATTCATTAAAAAGTACTCATTGTCCTTGCAGTAATCGAGACTTTGAGGTTAGTGTCGGCGATAAGATATTGAAGCTTTGTTTTCTTCCTAGTGTTATTTTTGTTAATATATTTACAAAAGAGCAAGATGGGCATTTAGTGCAGTAAAGATAGCTCGAGAAGTAGTCAAGAAGACAGCCCGTCGTTGAGGAGGAGGTGAGGGTACATTTATTTTATGTAGGTTTTGAATGGTCAGAGTTGTTGAGGAAGATGAGAGCAGGGTTGATTTTATTGCCCTTCGTCGGTGATATCGACATTTGACTGCACCGTTTTGAGACCTCTCATTAATTACCGAGTCAAAAATGGACGTCTGGCTAGTTAAAGAAATGCATTAAGGACTGGAATGTTTATTTTATTGTGAGTTTAAACTCAACTTGGCCACTTTTGTACTCAATTGCTTTATGCCTCATGTTATTTACAGAGTTGCTTTCCAGGTAGTAAATGCACAAGTATAAGTGCAAGCTTGCATCTGAAAAGAGCAGGACTTGATAGGTACAGATTTTGAATTGTCTGATGATGAGATATTCACGTGTACTCCGTATGCGTCGTATATGCATAGCTGCGTATGTATGTACATCTCGTCCAAATGGTAATAATATGACAAAAATCGTCTCATTTTCCTACAACTAATCTGTCCTCAAATTTACGTTTTAAATGCAAAATTAATGTCTTAAATTCTAATCACTTTACAATATCTTAATTACTAATGTCTCCTTGTATGCTGAACTGTATACTTGAGTCGACTTTAGTGTATCAATTCCTTCTCTGATTATTTTCGCCTGTCTTCATACTACCCACGGACGAGGGCCATGATGTGGAAATTGAATACGCCCAATCCATCAGAGTAATTTGAAACAAAATTGTTGCACAAGAATGGATTCATCAATGGATTAAATTGAATTGCACACCTAAAACCAAGATTAACAGAAACTAATCTAATCTAATGAGGATTTTAATGCGCCATCAATCTGTAACTTAGCACATTAACGTAACTTTATTACAACTGCTGATTGCCATTACACTTTTTCAAACCAATTGTTGCTGATAGAAGTGGATGATGTTCTGCTTATTTCAAAAACAGAATAAATGAGGTGATACAATTGACATTTATGGAACCACGACGTTAATGTCACTATTATCCCATGTAAAGTCGAGACTTGTCTTGATCAATAGTTTTGTGCAGTGTGTAGGCAAAACTGCATTATCTCATCTATCCGAGCCCCAAATATATAAATGAACACATACGTACATATACACATATATATCACACATACATACTCGTACGTACTTGTGTACATTTTTGGGATGGGCTTTGTCCAAATTTTATTCAATAATTTATAATTACAAATTACACATTGCAATTACAAGCACGTCCACACTCTAAAAACGCTTTCCAACTCGCTTTTAAGATGCCATCAATTAATTTTGATCTCGATTTTGACAACTGGTGCATTAAGTCGGTGTCTAATAGGTGAACGAGACTGTCCGTATAATAAGACCATAGAATCCTTACCACCACGCACACTGGTGACTGTGGGCGTACCAACTTTACAAATTATTTGGTTTATAACTTGCAGTTAAATAAATTATTAAAAACCGGTAGCCATTTCATCTTTATGGGAATTTTAGACATTAATGGCAAAGGAAAAGTATCTCATCGTCAACCCGGAAATTTGGATACATCGAAAATATTTTATTTGTTTGTCAATAATTTCAATTAAATAGCATCCGTTGACGTCGTCAGCAACCAAAGTCATCACAAACAATTACACCATTAATCAAAGCAAACTGCACACTTTTGATAAACTTTGCACGATTAATCGGTAATTGATATTAGTTGTAGTTATTTAACTAATGTGCCATCAAGGGTCGTAATGATAAACAATTGAAGAAAATGAGATCTGACCAACCAGCCGAATCTGATTATGTTTGCAGTAATGGCCAAGTGCTGTTGTCCATTACCCTTCAACAAAGGAAGAAAAGTTGTCACATAATCATCAATGACCTCCCAAGAACACTGAAACCAATAGTTCACATAAAGTTGCGATATCTCAGGAAAAAGTTGTCACCCTCTTAATTTCAGCTTTTCTTCAATTCAACATAAAAAACTCATTCGTTCGTTATCGATTGTGCAGCAAAAAACATGAGCATTAATGGGTTTTTATTCTTCATGGGTAACGAAACCCGTTTACAGATGTGGACAGTAAACTGCATAATCACAGACAAAAATTACTGCAAATTAAAAGTATTAACAAGTATTATTTTTTGTGTTTCATATAAACTCAAATAAATAACTAATTTTGAAACAAAGTTTATGGTCCTTTATGCTTATTTGTAAAAATTTCAAGTTAAGTTTCTACTATTATCTATGCAATTTATTGAGTTTAAGCTGTCATGAAGTTTGCCACCGTGGTTGTTCGAAAAACAACATAAAACGATAAACTAAACAAAGCTTTTAATTAACGCCATTAACCGATAACACCGTCCGCAAAGATATCGGCAAAGACTTGGCGTACAAGTGGTCATTGTGCAGTTTGGTGTGAATATATCCAATTAAGCCTGATCCTAAGAGGTCCATCAGAACACTGCTCATTTCATAATGCGGACAATGCACTAAATAACTCAACTATTGTTATCTGGTGGATTCTCCCAAAGACAGTCGACAGGCTCGCATAAATTGATCCACTTTTTTTTATTTAATCTTTCCGATATGTCAAGATATAGACTGTAAACATCACAAAGAGTTGTCGACATTTATGTTCTCACAGTCGTTGCCGAGTGTACTCAACAATTCAACATTGGTAGTCCTTTCCTTCTTCCAGAAAGTAAATTATACATTTGCTAGGCAAATATATACGTATTTATTTTATTTATTGTTTGTACTTAATGAACTGTATGTATATGTACAGATTTATAAAAACCGAAAAAATGTACACTAAAGACCTCAGCCAAAATTTCCACAATCTGCTACACATCACTACCAGTACATACATACGTATGTAAATACTGGTGTGAAATTCCAATGACAAAGCCAATTAATTAATCCTCGCAACTTTTTTCATAACACGGGACTAATAAACAAAAGAAATGCAAAGCTCAACTCTGCCAGCAATTCGGCTTAGCTTTCACACAGTAGTCAGTCCCTTGCATTCCATTTCATGTCTTCGGATCCCAGCTTGAATTGAGTGGATTGAGGGATTGAAATGCAAATCGCGAGGTTTCATCAAAGCTAACGAAATAAAATGTGAACCTAATCCAATCCAAGAGACTCAAAACAAATACACAGCGAAGGATTCTCTGTCTGGATAAATTATTCAAATCCGATTAAGTCCATCTCCGGCATCAAGGAAGTCTCCTCCAACTCCTGAGCACAGTGCAGATAAGTATGTGCAGGATGGGTAAGTGCCATTCTTTTTTTCCTAATGCTGCTGCTGTTATTGTAAATAAGCCTTTTTCTTGTGCATCAATTTTATTTCGTTCAACTTCATTAAACAAGTTTTTTAAATTTTTATCCGTGGCTCTTCTTTATTTAATCACGCAGTGTTGATACGCAGTCTAATCTCTCGTTGATTAACAAAAGAAGTAATGACGAGAAACCCAAGGAGAAGATTTTAATTTAATGAGATTAAGCTTACTTCAATCACATTGGGAAGAATTGAATCATGTCATGTCGTCGTTTGGCTATTGTAATCTCCTCACCGCAGCTTAATTATTAGGCGTGGATGCATTCGTAGATGTATGTGCGTGCTCACCTGTAGTATGGGAACGCTGCTTGCGGAACATGCAGATCCATGGGCATGGGGTGCGATGGGTGGTGTGAATGGTGTCCAGAGTATCCGTCTCCAGGCCCCATCATTTTAATTCTATCTTTCTGCTCTCTTTCTTTGCAAAAGTGCGAATATTGTCACGGGCCGAATATTTTAGCACTTTAGTAAAACGCACAGATATTTATTCGTCACCAGACCCGAACAGTAGCGGTTATATTATGTTCAAGATTACGGCAGATGATTATACTTTTTCGGAAGTTTGCAGCTTCTTAATTATTCTACGCTACTCCAACTGTCAAGTTTAGCTTTGAACACGTCGGCCTAAGGTGTGGACAATTGGCAGTGCATACGGACGAGTTCAAAGTTTAGGAAAATCTCTCTTGTTCATCTGCTTATCGTGTGTGTTGATGACATGCAGGTTGATCTTGATTCCCCCTTCTTAATAGATCAGCATCCCGTTTCGCCATTGTTTTATCAGCCCACTCATTATCGCCACCCGCTTGCCAATCTCAAATTTGCTGTTCACACTCGCTCGCTTGAGCTGACGAACGGACGAACTTGCGACGGTTGAGAACTTGTTGAATAGTTGCTTGAAGTTTGCAGGTTGTTCGTGAATCCTGTTCCCTCAATTCGAATGAGCTATTTAATAATGTTTGCTTTCAGGTTTTATCCAATTTGCAGATCTTTCATTTATTTTCCTGGCGATAAATAAAAAATGCTGAGAGATAATTCAAATGTAGCCGTTTCAATACACAAGTTGAATTGGTTTGGTTTTGCTTTGGCACAGGTCAATTATGGGAGTTCTTCTACCAGCTACGAGTGAATTTTGCTCCTGTCAATAATGACGTGATAGTGAAAATGGAGAAATCACAAGCTCACATACACGCATTGTTCCATCCACACTTTATACATACATAATAATATTTATTATTGAGATAAAACTGCAGTTCGTGCTACTGCAGGAGGGAGAGAGAGAGGATGCCTTCACGGAATATCAAGTAACCATCCGAACGTGTGTGTGAAGGACGTGACAAAATGGGGCATTCAGATAATTCTTTCTGGAGCAGAGCAAAGCCGTTGTCCGTGATCCGAACCCTTGTCACGTTACTGTCAATTAAATTATGTTCACGATCACTGAGAAGAATGTTCACAGACGACAGGTTGACTCTGGCTTCTTTGCTTTGTTTGTCTTTGCACACCTTGTTCTTGTCTCTGGGCTTTGACGACAACGAAATGCAGCTCAACTCACACAATCCGATTAACAATAAAATCAGATCCAGTATCTGATGAGATGAATTATTTTTTCGTCCGTGTTAGTTGGCTTAGCTTGCTGTTTTTATGTAAGAGCTTTAGACTTCAGCAGGGGTTCTTGTTTAGAGAATAAATCATTAAATTGCACAAATGTATGTATGTGTACGTATCATCGATGATTGGAATGCAACGTTGACACTCTGAGCGACACTGGAATTTAGGTTGTGCTACAGGTTTTGCAGAATTTGTTAATAGTCCGATCAATTCAAATAGGCAATTAAAACACCGAGTTAAACTAGCTTTCTTTTTGGGAAGTCATGGATGGATTTTGTAGTGGGGAAGTTAAGACTTGACTTGAAACTTTTTTCTTGTCACGGACTGAAGTTGAGACTAAGCTTTTGAGTTTCTTGTTCAAGTCTCAAGTTTAACGCGGAATCACTGCTTCATGTATTCGTATATCAGAACTTTTGGATGGCTATACTTTTTATCGTCAGTTTATTGACAGTTTAATATTTCACAGATAAAATATCATATTTAGCAATATGTATGTACGTTAGTTGAGACACCGAATTATAAATCCACGATTTTGTCCAAACTTGTCGATCCACTAGTTTAATAATAAAGTGTCAAATGAATGATTGTTACACTTTTGCTTGAGACTTTTAAGAAAACCAGTACGTTCGTACAACAGACTCATTCCCAAATATATCAGGATCCGTTTACAGTCTCACTCAAAACACATGCGTTTCGTGTTCCTTTCCTCACTCACAACTTTCTGTGATATGAAGTAAGTTGGTTGTGTGTGTGCTGTAAAGTAATTGCATTGCATTCCCCTTTCCTTCGCCAAAGAGCTATGGAGGTGGATCTACCAATTCCCGCCGAGGGGTTGGCCTTTTCACGCGCAAGACGTCCTGCCTACTTTTTTTACCGTGCATTTGTCTCTCCTCCAGCTTTTACCCGACTTTCGATATCATTTTCATATCAAACAGCAGCCAGCGTACAACTGGATCTGTTTGCAAAGGCCACTTCTTCTTACCACTTCGTCCGTCTCTACGATGATGCGAGGATGAATCATGTAATAAAACGGGGGTCCAGAACTACATCATCACAAATTGCTCCTTCCTTTTAGCCAGCGTACCATTTGAGATCCAACAATCCTTCCATACAGAAGTTGAGAAAGAGATGAGATGAGTTGGATGTCAGTTCGTTTTAATGTTTGGCTGAAGGTGGGTGCATGCGGTGCAGCTCTCTCTAAAATAATAAAAATACATAATAACCATGCTACGCTTATGGCTTCGATAAAATGCAAACTTCCAGCAGACCCAAGTAAATGTGTCGGTCACCCAACAAATTAAGACAATGCGAGCAGTATTAACCTATAATTTATTCCAAAATAAAGAAAACTAATAATACGAGCAGTCTCCTCGAGTAATACGAGTATAGTTTCAAGCTGCCAGTGCTGCTACTGTCCAACTGTCTCATTCTTCTCTAATGAAGCCCATGTTTGTTTCTTGCTTCAAGGTTTTACTTTTAGAGTTCCTACAATAAGATCAGCTAGATGAGGACCATGCTTGACCAGTCGCCACTGTCTGTCTGTTGTTACATCACTTTGTCTTAGACGAGCAAAAACTGACCGGACATGCTTGTTATATTTGGTCGTAAACCTTTTGTTGGTTTCCTCACTCAATTTTTCATTCATGATCTAGTCATTCACGGGGTAATGTCGGATAACACATATGTTTTAATAAAGTTATCCCTCCCCCATCTGCCTCTCTGAATTTGTTTGTCGTGTTTCTAAATCAACATGTAAAGATAGTTGCTGAGAAAACGAACGTGAGAACAATTAACACCGGAATAGCAATTATGCCCAGAATTATTGTAATTAACCAAGCTGTAGTCAAAATATCTTGTGAGTAATACCATACACATATCCATGATATACCTACGTACAAACTACTACACACTGCACATGTATGGAGCCAAAACAGTTTTGCAATGAATTTGCCTGTCCTTACACAAAAAAATTAGTTGAACTTTTTCACAAAGTGCTAAAATAATTATTTAGGATCGCACAAATGCTCACTTTTTTTATTATCTGTGATGAAATCTCATAGGTAGATAGTCTATCCTATCATTTACACTTTATCAATCAGTTCGCCTTAAACCAGAAGGGACAATTACCTTGTGCCTGCTTGATTCTCCTGAGGGTTTTCTTATAGAAGGACATATGTACATACAGAGAAGAGAGACTGAATTTGGGGAAACGCGTGGATGAAAAATTGAATATCGAAGGGAGTGGAGTCCCCATTGGGTGGTAGACTTGAGGCCAGGGCAAATATTACTGCTATGAATGTATGGTTGCTTGGCTGGTGCGTGGCCAGTATTAAGTCGTGCTGAGATAGATGACTAATGGGAGAATGGATTGTGACCACTGCGGGAAGTCGCGTGCCAATATGGATTTTTTCCTTCGAATATTTTAATCTCAACCTAAAAATCAGAACCACATCAATTTCATGCCATACTCAATTACCATTTTCTATTTTAATTTCCACCGTCTTCAGGTCATTTGTTGTGTGAACCAAGCTGTGAGACGTGTTCAAACACCCAGAGTAAAAAAAAGCATGGGACAGGGCCTTTCGGGGGCATTGCTTGTTGGTATGTTATTAATGTTGTTTGTTGCCTTCAGCACAAGCGTTTCTTGGTTTGTTCATTATTATTATTTATTTGCATTATTTGTTCATCATCGAACACTCGCATCAATTTACATGCCCTGCCCATGAGGATACGCTCGCTAATGTGATACGCTGCATGCCTTCAAATTCTTCTTATGACAATCATCATTAATAAATTTAAACTTTCGAATAAGTCCTCTGTGAGATATTGATGCTTGTGCCACTCTCCGTATCTGGTGCCCTGCACAACAAGTCTTTCCCACCTCCAACAACAACAACGTGAGCTGGAGGTGAAAAAGTTTCTCGGAGGCATGACATGTTTCCGTCACGATCCCTGCAGCCCCCACGCAGTTGAGTGTAAGGATTTCTGCTCAAGCGAGACTTTTTCCACGTATTGTTTGTTAAAACTAATTGCACATTTGGACGTTTGAAAATGAATAAGCTAAGCAAAACTCTGAAAAAGATTTTATAAAATATATAGTACTTTGTACTGAATTTATATAAATAAATAATAAATACCCTATTTATCTCTGTATTACTTAAGGTCTTTACTATGTTGCACATATTTAAAGTTTCTCCTAGACAAAGGCATATTTCGTATTCTAATGAAAACTGATAATTACAAATGTATTAACAGAGGCATAACACTTTACACACTTTTATTTCGCAAAACTTGACCTAAAATTAAGGAATTTAATAGCACCAGGGGTTTCGAAGAAACATCAAAAGTGTTATGACTAAAAAAAGCGTAAATCTTTTCCAACATGACTCAAAAGCGCTGAGTTATGTCACTCACATAAACAGAATAAGAGGGCAATTCACTTTTAATTTACAACTTGTCAATTCGTGATTTTTATTTAAATTGCGATTTCAAGTTACATTGCCGATTCTCATAAAAATGGTACGACTTTTGCTGGTTTGAAAGCAAAAGTGACTCATCAATGTCCAAGTTTAAAAAATATACAAACCTACCTCGGCAACCTTGTAAAATGCAAATTTTCGTCATCAGTTTAATAAATCTAAACCACAATAATGTCACTGCAGCTATAAAAGTTGCAGTATAAAAGTTGACGCAATCATTAAATTTGATATGGGTACAAATTAAAAATTAAATGGTAGTTTCAATATCTTTATTTAATCAATCAAGTCAGGATACACAACACTCTCATACAATATAAAGTTAAGTTACACAATTTACAAAATTTCGCTATTTTTAATAAAACAAATAAATTTCATTTCCAGAAAAATTAAATATTACATAAAAAATGAGATGTGCATCTGAACTCATGGTAAAGGTTAGGAGCATTTTTGCTGATAGTGGTCGAGTAATTCGATACCGCTCTGCTGCTTGCGTAATATATTTGGGGGGCGAGATTGGTTTGAAAAGAAAGTGAGATTTATGAAGGAGAAAGGAGTCATATTCAAATGTGTGTGACAGATTGCAATAAAATAATCAGTGTAATAGATGGGCTCGCTCCAGATCAGAAGACGGCCTCCCACCGAGCACAAGAAATAAGTACACAAGAAATAAATTTGACACGACAACGACTAATTTGTCACACTGAGTTACAAGCCTCCTGTCACTTGCCCACTTCATAACCACGACCATTTATATTTCGACTCTATAAAATACTTTGCTGACCACTTTCCTGCGTTGCGGCATAAATAATAAAATTTCCGTCGACTTTTTCTCCTGACTTGGAACCACCCCACACACGGTAAATAAATCAATTTCAGTAGATATTACTGAAAGTCGGCACATATTAAAATTTATTGCACTTTTTGTATAAATAATAAAATTGCCATTGTGTGCATGTCTAAATTTGAGTACTTACTTATTACTGCGTATGTAAAATTAAGTAAGTGCATACTCTTTAAACGTTGTGAGACAGATTATTTGCATGTTGCACAGATATTTATGCACAACATAAATGCTACCGACTTTGGCTACTGCAATTTCTTGGTGCTTAAAATTATTTGTGAAGGAAACAGCAGCTGTCAATCATCGATCAAAGTCAGTGATACTCACTCGGAGAGTAGAGCTTTAAGGATTAGTAAAGTTTGTCCGTCTGTCTATTAAAGTTAGAAAAGTAAATATTTATCAACATTAATTTGTTTCGGAGGAGTCGGGTTGCGAGACTTGTTGGCTGCTCTCTGCTACACTTGTGGCATCGAAACCTCTCATATTTCAAAGCGTAGAGTTGCCTTCATATCATAAAAATGCAACAAGTTTTGCATTTTTAAAAGTTGAATTGAAACCTTGTTCACTTGGTAGTTTGATGGAATGCAACTGCCCCGTCAAAATATTCTGATTGGCGTTGTCTGTTTGCTTGGGATTCCCTTCGAAATTAAAATCTACCTCAAATTCATAATCCTTACGTGCTTATTTAGTAGTAGACTTAACTCGAGCCTATTTGGAAGAAGTACGTAGTTATCCGTGCACAACACGGTGGGCAGAATAGAAAAATATACGAAGTTCAGCAATAATGCATAATAAAGTTGCACTTGTCGGACTAAATGGCATAGGTTAGTTACATATTTCATACTACACGATACAAAAACATGTGTACCTTCAAAGCCAATTCTTAATTCTTCTTACGAGTTATGATGTAATCTTTGGTTGAGATATGTGATGGTGTACATAATTTTTTACAAACTTCATTTGTAGTGAAATGTCATTTATTTTATTAAAGTTGTATTTATTTTATATTTATTTCCAGTTTTTATGAAAAAGTGGTCGTTCAACTTTTACAGACTATTTCGACAGAGTAATCAATTTTATGGATGGGTTTCAAAGAATTTGCGAACGGATGAGTCTGCGCTAAACAACAATTCACATAAGAAAACTGATGATGTTTCTCTACAACGACAGGCTTTTCGTAAATACATATGTATGCACATCGAATTGTCTGCATGTATTGTTTATGGATGTATAAAGTAGACGCAAGTAGTGAGGGAATGCCATAGCTTGTTCACTAGTGAGAAAACAAGTTCAACTCCGAAAACCATTTATGCCTGTGTTGCATTTTTTGACGCTTAGGGAGCAGTTGGTAGTGGGAATACATAATTGTTTCAGTGAGTCGTTGTAAAATGACG